TAGGCATGCGCTACCACGCCCAGCTGATTTTTTGATTTATTGTAGAGATGAGGTCTCGCTGCCCAGGTAGGTCTTGAACCCGCGGGCTCAGGTAATCCACTCACCTCAGCTCCAAAGGCGCGGGATTACAGGCTGAGCCACCGAGCCTTTTGTATTTAAATTTTGCAAACAATTATGATTTTATTCAACATTTATCACATAACAGATATTTGCTTTTTCCTTTTTTCTTTCTTCTTCTTTTTTTTTTTTTTTTGTCTTTTTGAATCAGGGTCTTACCCTGTCACCCAGGTTGCAGTACAGTGGCAGAATCAAGGCTCACCACAGCCTTGACTTCCAGGACTCAGGGAATCTTCCCAAGTAGCTGGGACTATAGGCACATGTGACCACACCTGACTATTTTTTAAATTTTTTATAGAGACTATATGATCTAGGTTGGTCTCAAACTTCTGGCCTCAAGCAATCCTCCTACCTTAGCCTCCCAAAGTGTTGGGATTATAAGTATCAGCCACCATACCCAGCTGACATACTAAACATGTATAGTCTCAAATACCTGTTGGAAAGTGTTCAAATAATCTTTATTATGGAAGGTCTAGGGATCATTTCTAAATCCTTAACTAGCTAGTGTTTCATGAACAAAGAGAAAGAGAGGGAGGAGGCAGGCCAGGAGGCAAGCATGGCAAATGTGTATTTGAGGTCAATGTTGAGGCCTCAAATATAATAACCTAAGAATCAAAATTACATTATTTTCTTTTCTGCTTACCCTAGCTTTTATCACCACGAAGGAACATCATGGAGCTCATAGGAAACAAGGCCATTACAAAGGGAACATTTTTACAAAACTAAAGAAATCATGTGTAACTCTATTTACCATTCAGTTTGTCATTTTAAGCTCCCCTTCACAGCTTGAAAAATGTGTTATAAATATAACTAAGATATCAATTTTGACCACTATTTTGTATATAAGTGATATGAATATTAGACTAAATTACCAGCATCCAATTGAGATAGACATCACTTAATACCTCTAATGGCAGCATATCTGTCAGTCTCAGACAGAGAGAAAAAAATTAATGTAAGTTATGGTTTTGTAGAATTAGTGCTCAGTGTGCTTAAATGTGTAACTAACATCTTTGGTAAATCTACTTTAAGAGGCTCTTACCATAGGGCTGTTGTAGAAATGTACCGCACAAATTCTGTAAAAGGTAGAGGGTCTGATGATGCTCCACAGCTACGACACACACACTACAGGTAAAAACACATGTTTAATCTATCAATCATAGAATATAAATATAATATCTAATAAAATAATTAAGCCACCTCACCTGTTCATACAGAGTCATAGCAAATTTCTGGTGAGTGATACAAGATTTAGAGGTACACATGTCTGCATCTCTACTTGGTACTATGTGAAAATGAATCCTCTCCAATATATTTTCCTAAGTTAAAAATAAGAAAGACAGATGAATTGCTAATCTTGCAGGGAGCATATCAAAATACAACGCTTTAAGTGAAGATTTTCCAAAGTGCAAATTTAGGAGTGTCATACATATTTTTAGCTTTTCAGCTTTCCTCTCAACACTTCGAATGTTTAATTATTTATCTTTTGTAGCATTAGCTTTAAAAAAAAATGTTACTTAATGTTACATTACACTGTAACAGATGAATTTGTAATACAAAATTTTAAAAATCCTTTAAAAAAATCAACCATGGTGGTTGATATGTAAAATTTAATGTTAGAAAACATAATTTCCTATGTTTTCAGCATACTTATTTTGAGAAAAATCAGATAACTTTAAAAATAATCCTACTTGGATCATCTAGATAGACTATATAACTTACATCAAAATAGCACCCCTATATCTACACTAACACCATATGCAGGCAATATGCTCTGCAATAAATCTCATATGAATGTCCAGACTTATAATATAGATCCAATGGGGGTATTGATTCATTTAAAATAATAACCCTTCTTCTTCCCAAAGCTTGGTCAATGGATACGTCTCATTAGTTACATTCCTTGTCCTCTTGCTAGGATATTCAAAACCATTCAGTAATTTATGCTAGGATGCCTAGACATTTCATCAGTTAACATATCAGTATTAGTACATTTCATTTAAGAGAAAGTAAAACTATAAAGTTTGGTATTGTGCAAAACATATTTATATTTTGAACAATTATACAACAAATATACAACAATTATAAGTAGAAGAAATATGGAAAGTATATTTTATTTCTATGTGTGTCATTATTGACACATTTTAAGCGACTGGGAGTGTGCTAGACAGCATACTAGCACATCAGTGAACTTTCAATCTATCTAAGGAAACTATAAAGATGCTCATTTAAAAAAGCTAATTACAGCCGGGCATGGTGGCTCAAGCCTGTAATCCCAGCACTTTGGGGGGCTGAGATGAGGGGATTTCCTGAGCCCACAGATTCGATTTATTGGTGAGACCTTATCTCTACAATAAATCAAAAAATTAGCAGGGCATGGTAGCACGCGCCTATAGTTCTGGCTACTTGGAATGCTGAAGTGGAAGGATCTTCTGAACCCAGCGGGTCAATGCTGGGGTGGCTGTGAGCCTGCCACCGCATTCCAGCCTGGGCGACGGAGTGAGACTTCAACTTAAAAAAAAAGCTAATTACATTACATGTTCTCACTCATAAGCAGACTTTGAACAATTATCGTAATACTGTAAGAAAAGGATTGACAGTAGCGGGAAATAGAGGGGGAAGTCAGGATTGGCAGTAGTGGAAATCTGGGGGGTGAGGTGGGCAGCACACCACAACAACGGTACCTGCAAAATGAACATCTGTATACCTAATCCTGAATTGTACCCCACATCTTTAAAAGAAAATATTTAAAAACAAAAAATAAAAAAAGCTAATTAATAACTTTGAAATGCCAAATGAATTCTACAGGTAGTAAACTCTACCAGAAACAAATTGGGGTGGTTTGGTCATATATTACCTGGTAGGCAGGACTTAAACACTGATAAAATGATAAGCTAAAAATTTTTTTGAGTATTTCAGGAACTTAAGCAAAGGCTATTAAGTTAGAAATACATATTTTTCAAAAAGTATGAAGAACAGAATGGAACCAGGAAGAAAAATGTAGGGAGGAAGCAAAGAGATAAGATGGAGTTTAATAGTAAAGGTTCTTAAATGTCAGAATAAAAAGTTTATATTTCAATCACAGAAGTATCTAAAGAGTAAGCATTAGCCTGACTGTAAAGGAATAGACTGATTGGACCCTAAGAGCAGAAGACTGGACTAGAAAGAAGTTGTAGTAAGAAATTTATATGGAAAGAAAAGCATTTTAAAAGGATTTGTGATAGAATAATTTACTAAATTTGCTAAATAGAAACAGGACCAAGAGAGAAGAAATGGTTACATCTTAAACATAGGTGACATCTATATTCCTGAGACATGTAATAATCAACAGATATATTGCAGAAGTTGTATAAAGCATGTACCTGATTAAAGGAATGCTCTACTTATTAATATGGTGGTAACACAGAGCCTCAGAACATCAACCTGTGATTTTTAGCCTGGAGTGTAACAGAACTGTTGCCCTGATAACTGCCCACCCAAATCTCCTTCTCCCCCAGAATCATTACATGTACTGAGAAATATTACTGCTGGGAATGTGTTGCACCTGTAAAACTTATGAAGAAACAACTCTGCTTTTAAGTGATACCATTTATATTCAGCAAAACTTTTAGTTCCAATAAATAAATGAATAAGTAACCTAACACCCAGTAAAAATTAGAACAATAAAAATAATCAAAACCAAAAGTACAACACAAAACACAGATGGATTTAAATTGAGCCTTGAAGGATAAGTAAATCATGGATCCACCGGCACATCCCGACTCTTCTATTGCTAAGAATTTTCATTTCATTTGTCTCAAAATTTCCATCTGAAGAATGAAAACTACTATACTGACTTCTAAGAATTATCAGAAATACTTACAAAACACTCTGCAGCATCATCCATAAGCCCAAGTTGAAATCGCTGCTCATCTTTGAAGCTTTCTGCAAGAGCATGCCTTATGTTATCTGATGGAAGTGCTTTTTCTCGACTATGCTGAAACTGTGCAAATATTGTCTGGGAATCAACAAGTATATCAGTAAGTTTAATGCCAACAACTTTAAAAACATTTCAATAATTTCATTACAACACAGAGAAACTCAAAACAATACGCTCAGAAACTAATACAGTATAGTTATGCTCTAAATTTCCATATAAAAATTAACTGTGTATCAATGAAGTGTTGTACCAGCCTCCAAGTCAAATGTTAGGGTGCATAAGAATTAAACTTGAAGAGTTATCAGGTCTCACTCTCAGAGATAATGATTGAGTAATCCTAAGGTGAGACCCACTTATAACTTGTTAGATAGTTGCTTTAAATAAAAATATATGCTATAGGAATTCAAATTATGCTAACCAAAAATAAACATATAATCACATACAAATTAGTAGGAATTCACTAGTCTGTAGAAAAAAAGTTAAAGTATCCTATAGGAACTTTTAATGTTTTTTGTTTCTTCTACTAGGGTCCTAAGAAAACCTCAGAAGATGACAAACTATGACTTAAAAAGGAATTAAAATTAGACAACTTGAATAAAACAACAATTTCCTACTATTAGTATACTAAATTTGCTTTTTTAAATAAATGCAAATGTACATTTTATAAGAAAAATCAGAGATGATGATTTTTAATTTTTATAGAAAAAATTCCCCATCCCCAAGCTATCAATTTTCCTTACTTACAGAAGTACAGGATGCTCACCCCAAATTCAAATCTGAAGTCCAAAATCTGAAACTTTTTGAGTGCTGACATGATGCTCAAGGGAAATGCTCAATGGAACATTTCAGATTTCACCTTTGGAATACTCAACCAGTAAATATATACATGCAAATATTCAAAACCTAAAAATATTCAAAATCTGAAACACTTCTGGTCTTGAGCATTTTGGATAATGGATAATCAACCTGTATTTCTAATATAGACCTAAGAAACTAGCTGGGCTCAGTGGCTCAGCCTGTAATCCCGCGCCTTTGGGAGGCTGAGGTGAGTGGATTGCCTGAGCCCGCAGGTTTGAGACCCGTCTGGGCAGCGAGACCTCATCTCTACAATAAATCAAAAAAATCAGCCGGGCGTGGTAGCACATGCCTGTAATTCTGGCTACTCGGAAGGCTGAGGCGGAAGGATCACCGGAGCCCAGCATGTCGAGGCTGCGGTGGCCGGGAGTGACCACTGCACTCCAGTCTGGGCGACAGAGTGAGACTCCAACGCAAAAAAAAAAAAAAAAAAAAAACTGTGACAACATCACTTAAGAACATGAGATTATAGTTGTTAACCAGGTTTTATATTTTCCTTGAATTTAAGCAAGAAAAGAAGTACAAGTTCCAGTTTTCTGACATCATCTATCTTATTTAGAAGAAAATGGAGAAAAAAAATGTTCAGTGACAACCCAACAAATAAAAATTGGTCCTATTCAGGTCCATGTTAGCACAAGGAGCCATGTCATCTCAAAAAAAATTTTTTTAAAGGTCAACATACTTTAGGCTAAGAAAATATTAGCCATTATAATAGATAAAATTATGAATACTAAAAGATGAAAAATTTTCAGAATTTATCTCTTAAGTAATTAATTCTCTAGGAAACATTTAAGATAATAATCCTATACAAGAATCGAATCCTAATCCATTCATTCGATTCATTCAACATGTATTTTTTGCTAACTTAGTATATGTCAGGCATTGTCCTACACTTAGAAAATAGATGATGATCCTGCCCACTTGGAGCTAACATTCTAGTTATAGTAATGAAAAGGTACATAAGTAATTATATGTCACAATGTGGTAAGTACAATAGAGAAAAGAAATAAAATACCTGAGAGAAAAATAAAACAGCGTAATAGGGACAGAAATGTTAGGAGTAGCACAGAGGGAGGCAGCTTAACTTTTATCTAAGGGGAGGGCCTTATTGATAGAAAAAAATAACATTTGAGGAGAGGCATAAGGGAAATAAGAGTGTTTAGCCATGAGGCCATCTGGAAGAAAAGCATTCCAGACAAAAGGAATAACAATGAAAAGACTTGAAGATGAGTGTCAGCTCTGAGAAATGGAAACTAGCTTGGCTAAAGTGCAATGTGCTGATGTGTGGGGTTTTTGGGAAGTGGGGAGGTAAGCAGAGGGAAGAGGTAGATTACTGTGTAAGACTATGAAAGAGTTGGGCTACGAAGTTATACTAGTTTTACAATTGTATAAAATGTTCAAAATTTACTAAGAAGTAAATAAAATGTGATACTGTAATTAGATCTAGGTTTATTCTTTATCCCCTAGCAATAGTCCTATTTTGCCATGTCCTGAAAAAGAGAATATAAAATGTCCTCCTTTGGTGATTTATTCAAACAGCTTTTTCAGAGACATTAAAAAATTAAGTCATGTAAATACTTTTTAAAAAATTTCCTGTGAATATAAGTGCATGTGTGTTCATTTTACATTCAACAATGTAAAAAAATAAAACATCTCTAAAACATGTTGACAACGTCTTAAATTCTTGCAAAAGATTTCAATGACATAAGGGAGTTGCTAACATATACTAGACTTCCTGTTTCTGTCTGTCTTCTTTTTTTTTCTCAGCAGAGCAGCCAAAAGGATCTAGTTCAACACATTATATCTAGTTAAAACAGATTCTATCACTCCTCCATTCAAAACAATCCTGAGACTTTCAAGTACACAGAGTAAGGTCAAGGTTTCCACAAAGGCTATAAGGCCCTACACAATCTGAACTCCTCTAACAAACCATTCTAAAACTTAGTTATCTAAAAAATTACTTATTTTTATCACAAATCTACAATTTGGGAAGGGGGGGCACATCTCTGCTCCACTTGGAGTCACTTGGGACAGTTAGAATGCTGGGACCTGGGATCAGCTGTCTAGCGGTTGATGCTGGCTGTTAACTGGGGTCTCTGCTCTAGCTGTGTACAGAATTTCCCCATTTGGCCTTTCCACCTGGTGGTTCGCTTCCAAGAGGAGCACTCCAAGAGATGGAGCTGGGTGGGGAGCTGTATCACCTTCTCGAATCTAGCCTAACCTCAGATATCTTGCAGCATCACTTCTCCCACACTCTAGTTGATAGACATCAGTCACTAAGGCCAGCCCATATTCAAAGAATTCAACTTTGGATCAGGAAGAGTACAAAAGAATCTGCAGACGTGCTTTAAAGCCACCTCAACTGCCCTTACCTTTGAGCTCATCTCCTACCACTCTTTGTTGCTCACAAAGAATTCCTTGGTGTCCCTTGAATACGTCATGTATACTCCCCCTCAAGGACTCTGTGGTTGCTGTTTCTCTGTCTACCTGGAAGGCTCTTCTGCTACATGGCTTTATATTTCACTCCATCAACTTTTTCAGGTCTTGATTAAAACATCACTTTCTCAGTGAGGCTTTCCTGGATACTCAATTCTCTTTATTTACTTTTACAGATTAATTTTTCCACTTTAACAATTATTATCATCTAACATATTCTATATTTTGCTTACTTACTGTCTCCTCCCCTATATAAGCTCCATGAGAACAGGGTTTTTTGTTTGTTTGTTTTTAGCAGTTGTTCACTTCTGTATCTTCAGTAACTACAGCAGTACCCAGAACTCAAAAAACTTTTTTTTTTTTTTTTTTGAGTCAGAGTCTCTCTGTCACCCAGGCTGGAGTGCAGTGGTACGCTCATGGCCACCCCAGCGTTGACCTGCTGGGCTCAGGCGATCCTTCGCCTCAGTCCTCCAAGTAGCCGGAACTACAGGTGTGCACTACCATGCCTGGCTAATTTTTTGATTTACTGTAGAGAGGAGGTCTCACCAAGTTGCCCAGGCTGTTTTTGAGCCTGCGGGCTCAGGTAATCCTCTCACCTTGGCCTCCCAAAGTGCTGGGATTGTTTCCAAATAAAAAATATAATGTTCCTAACAATGTTATACTATTTAGAATATTACTTTCTAACTATTCTTATATAGATGTGGAAAATAAAAACACAAACTTGGGGCTGGGGGCAGTGCCTCATGCCTGTAATCCCAATTCTTTGGGAGGCCAAGGCAGGAAGACTGCTTGAAGCCAGGAATCCAAGATCAGCCTGGACAACATAGTGAGACCTCATCACTACAGAACAATTAAAAAATTAGCCAGGTGTGGTGTGGTATCCCTGTAGTCCCAGCTACTTGGGAGGCTGAGGCGGATCACCTGAGCCCAGGAGTTTGAGGCTGCAGTGAGAAATGATCACACCACTGCACTCCTGCCTGGGTGAATCTATCTCGTAAAAAAAAAACCCAAAACAAACAAACAAAAAGCATAAACCTGAATAAGGATACTTTAAGAATTCATTTTGAAAACTATAAATCACTTGACAGTAAACTTCAGTTACAAACTAATTGACCAAATATGCTATCAAACTTAATTTTTTGGATAAACAATTAATAGTAATTTGTCAGAGCTATTAAAAGGTTACCTTTAATGCACAAAATATGCAGGCATCTCCCTGACAAACATGTCCAGTCAGAACACGCAAGCTTCTTCGGAATATATCTAATTGCCATAAAACCTAAAAAAAAGTGAGATATGAAGGAAAAAGAAACACAGTGAAATTTTCTCATTGTGATAAAAAAAAAATTTAGGTATTTAAAAACTTGCAAAAGGTTAAAAAGCAACTTCTTTTAATCTCTTGTGCATAATCAGACATATACAACCACAGGACACAATAGTGAGTATAAAATTGCTACATATATATTGTTCCTATATAAAAGATGGATTTAGAAAATACTCTTACTGATTTACATGAGAAACCATGGCAGGCACAGAGCAAGGGAAAGCCTCTCAGTTAAGAGTTTGATATAACAGGAAACATGGGATACTAAATGCAGGACTTGGAAGAAACATAAAAAAGGAAGTGATTATAATACTTGGAACAAACTGAAATCTAGAAAGGAAATATAATTAGACTTTAAAACCAGAGTGTACTAAATAGGGGTCAGCGCACTGTGGTAAGAATAAAGGAAGAACAGAGGTGTGTGTGGTCACCATATGCTGAACAAGAAAGGGAGTATCTGTATGGTAACTGGGGACATGGTAAGAAGTAGAAGCTAAGAAATAACTTGAATATATTTGCTGCAATTATCCATTTATCATCTTGCCACTAAAAGACAAAGAAAAAGGAAACTAGAAGACATAATCGTAGAAGTAAATCAGTCTAGCACTTAACATCATTCTGAAAAACCTGGTTTCTATACAATGAGAATATTAACAGTAACTGTTTCATAGTTCTTGTAAGGATTAAGTAATATGTAATGTGTTTAGAGCAGGGTATGGTACTCAACTGGCATTCAATGAATACTGGCTGCTATCTGTAGCTGTCATGACTATTATGACAAACAAGTAAGACCTTCAGGTGTCCATATATCTTTTAATCATGTCCTCAAATAACCGTAATTAAGAAAATGATTCATGATCTCTCTCCTAACTAAAAGCAAAAGGTTAATAAAAACAAATCGGTTTTAAGGTTTTCTATATTTTCAGCTGCTCCATAATGCTCAACCTCTCTAATCATCAGGGAGATGCAAATCAAAACCACACTGAGATACCACCTAACTCCAGTCAGAATGACAATTATCAATAACTCAAAAAATAATAGCTGTTGGAGAGGGTGTGGCGAAAAGGGAACACTCCTACACTGTTGGTGGGAATGTAAACTAGTGCAACCTCTGTGGAAAGCAGTGTGGTGATTCCTAAAAGCTCTAAACATCAACCTCCCATATGACCCTGCAATCCCTCTACTGGGAATATAGAATATACCCTGAAGAACTCAAATCACTCTATAAAAAAGATGCCTGCACACGAATGTTTATCACAGCATTGTTCACAATAGCAAGAACCTGGAACCAACCACATTGTCCATCAAAAGAGAACTGGATTAAAAAAATGTGGTACATATACACGATGGAATACTATGCAGCCATAAAAAAGAACAAAATCATGAATTTCGCAGCAACCTGGATGGAGCTAGAGTCTATAATACTGAGTGACCTCTCACAGAAACAAAGATCTGAGTATCACATATTCTCACTCATATAGTGGACCTTGATCATCCAACGCACTACCATAAGAAAATGACTGACAGTGGTGGGAAACCATAGGGAGGGGATGGGACTAATGGTAGTAAACATCTGTCTGGGGACGGGGAGAGACCTGTTATCAACAAGGGGGCCTGAATGAAGCATATCTGTATACCTAACCCTTAATTGTACCCCACAGTATCAAAATAAAAAATATTGATAAAAATAAATAAATAAATGAATAAATAAAAATACTACATTGAAATCCATTTTACCAACAAAGATGAAGTTCGATTACAGCACAACTTTACAAGTAGTACAGCAGTTGTACAACCTCTGAAAGCAGGCTGCCTGGTTCTCATTCTGGATTTACTGATTGTCAGCTCCTGGGAATGACTCAGCAAAATATTTTCTGGAACTCAGTTTTCTCAATGGCAAAATAAGAATAAATGTAGTACCTACATCTCAGGGTTGTTGTAAGGATTAAATTAGATAAAATGTAATGTTCTGACAAGCATCTAGTACACAGTAAGAACACAATAAATGTTAGCTGTTAAATATTGTAACTTTGCTTCTAACTCAGAGAAGTAGCATACTTAATTATGCTGCTTTCTCATCAGATAAGTTTAAAATATTCAGCCAAAATAGAATAGCCCATATAGTCTGTTTATAAGGTTAGTGATCTTTCAAATATAACCAGAATGGTTTCTGGCACTAGCAAAATTTTTAAGTTACACTGAATCAAACCACGTAAAATACATTTTGTGATTTATTTAAAATTATCTTAACATTACAGTATTCAGGAGTAGTATAAAGCCTATTTTAACAAACCTATCACCAAATAATTATTCCAATTATAGTTAATTTTCATATTTAATTTTTAAATGCTGTTTATATTCTACCACCTATTTTAAAAAATTAGTTTAAGCTAGTTGTTGAACTAGTTTTTAACAATATACACTTTTTCTTTTTTATTATTTGCATATAGCAATTTAAATGTCTAACAAAATTAATGTATTTTTGTTTATACATTTCTTATGACTATTCCCAAAAGATCAATACATATCTATATACACACGAAATAAAGAAATTCAAATCTTTCATCATACAGTCTTTACTTCAAAATAATATAAAAAATTAAATATTAATAAGAAATGGCATACAAATTCATTTTTCTGACTTACTGAGATTCATAACTTTAGTAATGTCTGCTTTTAGTCATTTCTTATAAGATATACTCCACAATTTACATTTCACCAGTTTTTAAAACTATTTATCAAATTGCATATTAACATTTGTATTTTGAATTTTTAAAAATAAAGTCAGGCTTTTTCTGATAGGAAGTCTATTTGAATAGTTGCTTTGTCAGTGAGGACTGGCTTTGTAAACTGATTTATACAATAGACATCTATCATGAGATATGAACAGGTGCCCCAAAGCTAGAGTTGCAGGGTGGAGTACTGCAGAGGAGAAAGCTGCACAGGGTTAACATTGGAGATCAGCAAGGACTAGTCTTGTGTATTTGGGTGCATGTTATAGGAAACCACTTGAGGTCAAGTAAAGAAATACTCAAAAAGATTAGAGAGAATGGTGCCTAGAGCTCATACAGGCTCAGGACAGTGTCTTTTCAAGTGGAAAGCTTTATAATTCACAGAGCACTGGCTGAAGAAAAAGGTCTCACAAGCAACGTTAACCCTAGAATAAACAGTTCTGTCCTGCTTAACAAAGTTTATAAGTAAAATGATAATCCTGTTTCCAAGTAAATTAATCCTGTCCCAGAACAAAGTTCAAAATTATAATAATAATTATTATTATTTTGAGACGGAGTTTCTCTCTGTTGCCCAGGCTGTAGTCCAGTGGTATGCTCATGGCCACTGCAGCCTTGATCTGTGAGGCTCAGGTGATCCTTCAAGTAGCTGGAACTATAGGTACCTGTCACCACACTCAGATAATTCTTTTAAACTTTTTTGCAGAGACAAGGTCTCACCAAGTTGCCTAGGCTAGTCTTGAACCCCTGGGCTCAGACAATCCTCTCACCTCCACCTCCCAAAGTACAGGGATTACAGGCATAAGCCACAATGCCCAGCCTCAAGATTATTTTTAAAAAATAAAAATATCTATAACCCAACAATATAAAACTTGTCTAACACCCAGTAAAAAATTACAAGGTATTCAGAGAAACAAGAAGATGTAACCCAGAATGAGAAAGGAAAGGAAGCAAACACTGAAACTCATCCAGAATTTATACAAATAACAGAATTATGGACAAGTACATTAAAACGATTATTACAACTGAATTTCATATGTTTAAGAGACTAGAAGACTGAACAGCCTAAGCAGAGACATAAGATCTTAAGAAGATCCATAACAAACTTTCTACAGCAAAAACTACAATGTCTAAAATAAAAATACATTGGATGGGATTAATAGCAGATTAGACATTACAAAGGAAGTAATTAATTAACTTGAAAACACGGTAATAGAAAATGTAAATACAAAATGAAAAGCACGGGGGGGGGGGGGGGGAAATAAAAGACCAAGAATGAAAACAGAGCATCAGTGAGCTATGGGACAGCTTCAAGCAACCAACTATATATGTAATTGGAGTCCCCCAAAGGAGGAAGAGACAGAAAACTTGTTTGAAGGAATTACAGTCAAAGAGTTTCCAAACTTGATTAGAATTATAAGTCCACAGATCCAAGAGGCTCAACAAATTCAAACACAAGAGACATAAAGAAAACTATGTCAAGACACATTATAATTAAATTGCTTTAAACCACTGATAGAAGAAAATTTTAAAAGCAGCCACAGAAAAAGAACACATTACACATAGACAAAGATCAAAATAACTGATTTTTCATTAGAAATAATACAAGCTAAAACATAGAGAAGCAAAATCTTTTTTTTTTTGAGTTGGAGTCTCACTCTGTTGCCCAGACTGCAGTGCAGTGGCCTCTCCCGGTCACCGCAGCCTTGACCTGCTGGGCTCCGGCGATCTTCCGCCTCAGCCTTCCAAGTAGCTGGAACTACAGGCGCGCGCTACCACGCCTGGCTAATTTTTTGATTTATTGTAGAGATGAGGTCTCGCCAAGTTGCCCAGGCGGGTCTCGAACCTGCGGGCTCAGGCAACCCACTCACCTCAGCCTCCCAAAGCGGGGGATTACAGGCTGAGCCACCGAGCCCGGCTGAGAAGCAAAATCTTGATAGCACTGAAAGAAAAAATGTCAACTTAGACCTTCTACATTTAATGAGTAAAATATCTTTCAAAAACAGAAGTGAAATGAAGAGTTTTCTCAGACATACAAAAGCTGAAAGAATTAATTTCCAATAGACCTGGACTACAAGAAAGATGCTTCAAGCAGAAAAAGAATATCAAATGGAAATGTGGATCTATGCAAAAAAGTGATGAGCACCAGAAATAGTAATTAGGTAGATAAGCATAGACAAAGGTCAGTGGAATGTTCCCTAAAAAAAACTTAAGAGATACTTCTCCATTTTCTTTGCCATATAAGTTTTCTGTACACAGAATTTCTTCTTGTTCTAATATGCTTTTTGTCTCCCTAAACTATACAAAGTGTTTTGAAGGTGAGGAAAAGGATAGAGGCCAGTCTCAGTGGCTCATCCTGTAATCCCAGCACTTTGGGAGAACGAGGCAAGTGGATTGCCTGAATCTGCGGGATGGAGACCAGGACAACTTGGCAACTTGGCAAGACCTTGCCTCTACAATAAAATAAAAATTATCTGGGCGTGGCAACACGCACGTGTAGTTCCGGCTACTTGGAAGGCTGAGGTGGAAGGATCACTGGAGTCCAGCAAGTCGGCACTGAGTGGCCGTGGGAGTGTCACCACACTCCAGCCTGGGCGGAAGAGTGAGATTCCAGCTCAAAAAAGAAAAGGACAGAAACAAAGAGAAAAATATAAAAGTGAAAAAGAGTAGGAAAAGCAGTAAACAGGAAACGTTCTGATATGATAGAAGTCTCTTCTCACGGCCTGATTCAATCAAAGGCATTCAATTCTAGATCTTTTGGTATCTGGTATTTCTCCATGACCGGTGCCATTCAATAAATATTTTTCTGCACTTCTCAAAGTACTTAATGCCAGTGGGATTTTTGATCCAGGGAAGAACACTTAGGCCACTTAAGGGTCTTAAAGTAAATCAGAATTAACAATTAATTATTAAAATAAATATATACAGAGACTCTATAATGTTATCTATCTTACACTCAGAATCATATTTTTCTTTTGTTTTTCTTTTTCTTTTTTCTTAACATCTCACTGAAAATTATTTGTTGGCCAGAATTAATGTTTTGCTAATACTAACTGCTTCTTTTTCCCAGGGTGAGTAAAAGAACTTTCAAGTTTGATATCTGCCCCAGATAGAGGGCAATTGAGACACAGATCTGAGTCAAATGTCTGTGCCCGACACATTCTACATATATTTATTCACCAAGTGAGTTAATCAACCAACACTTTTCTTCTCTATTCCCAGTTTTCAAGAGAATATATGTAAAAAGTGATGTTAGATAAATTCTTTTAAGATATTCTAGGGTCAACAGAAAAGACATTACAATATTCTGTATCAACCTCATCTTTAATACTGCACAGTCAATGGTTAGAAGGATATAAGATTCTACAAAATCTGGAACTGCTGAATAAAAACTATATAATGAATAAGAAAGAATATTTATCTAAGGCAGAAAGTGTGCTAATACATATTTGTTAATTTAAAAAATTTTGATAAAAACTGAAGCAAAATAGATTAACTTTCAATTTAATCAAAACAGTGCTGCCCAAATTTTGATTCCACAGAGATAATTTAAGGATCACAGGGGGAGGTGAAGGGAGTCTGAGTAATGAGATTTTTAAAAACTGCATTCTCAATCCAAGCAGTTTATTTCTTTTTATTCTATCTACTAACTATACAAGATTTCTTTTTTTAAAAAGCGGGGTAGAGGATGTTAGCTGATTAAAACAAAGTGTTTATGTATTTTAGAAACATATTCTTAACTTACTAAACATTTTACATCAAAAAAATTTTTATATCACAGTAATATATCATTCTGTTGAAAAACCATTTCCATTTATTATAAAAACCAGAATGACCAGCCAAAACACTTTTGTTCTCATTAAAAGTGAGATTAGAAGATCATTCTAGTCAATAACCTTTATAAGTTAAAGAAACATTAAACAAAGAGATTTCCTGAGGTATTTTTAAAACTTTAATAAGTAATTATAATCTCACCTGTACAGCACTATTAAGAAAGCAGCTGTTTTGTCCTGGTTCATTTAACAGGCCTTTGGTAGGGGCTAGTGACAGCATACTTCCAGGTTGATAAACTTTTCCAAGATTGCCACCAGGTTTCCGTAACAATTTTACCCATGCCATGTTCAAGCAACTTGGTTTGCATCAAAGCTAAGAATTTTACACTTTTATGTGATAAAATGGATGATGTCTTGAATTGTTCACTTAAATCCACTGTAGTCTGTTAAAATAATGTGAAGTTTCCAAGTCCATATCTTTCCTGATGTTATAAATTTTGAGGATTTTAACAAGTAAAAATAAGGTAGATAAACGTTCTGGGCACTATAAAAAGAAAGCTATTTTAAACAAGGCCTATATGATGTGTATGTGTTAAATTTTATGAGTCACATAAGGTTAAAATTAAAAAGATTTTTTTTTATAAAAGGCTATACATATAATAATGATGAATCAATCATTTCCTTTAATGCATAAGCCATTTGTCTTGACGAATAAAAAAACACATCTTGATGTTACAAAAAGATGTAGAGTTTGCATTTGGCGTAATTCCTTTGGTCTTTTATTTGCCTTATATTTTTTTAATAAGAAAGAAGTCTCTCTCATTCCCAGGTGAAATCATCACAGGTGACTCCATATTTCATATCGATGAGACCTCAAAGCAAATCTACAAGAAAGAAAAAAAAATGTTTAAATAAAAGTAAATGAAAGAAAATTCCTACTTTGCTGTTTGAACACAAATACTGAATATGAAATTAAAACTCATCATAAAAAGGATCAGAACCGATAACATTCTAAAATATTAAAAGGAAAATATTTCATCGTTTAAATTTTCCTAAATGTCAGCGTGACATCAATCCCTTCCTACCTCTTAAGCTTGCAATGTTCAAAGGATGATTTCATAAGAAAAATATTCCACAAAAAACTGGAATAAAATTAGATTTCAGTTGGTATTCTATGTCTGTCAATAGTAAATTGCTTTATTAAAATAAATATATACAGAGACTCTATAATGTTATCTATCTTACACACAGAATCATATTTTTCAGAGTGAGAAGATTTTTATGTATATTGATATGTATAATACTTCAAAAAAACAAATCTTAGTAAATTAAAGTAAATTTCCATGTTACTCAAAGGTCTTTAAATTAAACTGACAAGTTAAAAACAATCAAATACAGACACAGCTCATTTTACAGTGCTTTGCTTTATTGCACTTTGCAGATATTGCCTTTTTACAAATTGGAGGTTCGTGCCAACCTTGCCTCAAGCCAATCGATTAGTACCATTTTTCCAAAAAGCATGTACTAATTTCATGACTCTGTTACATTTTGATAATTCCTGCAACATTTCAAACTTTGGGGGTGCCACAGAAAGACGGCTAACTTAATAAATACTGTGTGTGTTCTCAGTGTTCTACCAACCTGCTGTTTCAGTTTCTCTCCCTCTCCTCAGGTCCCCCTATTCCCTGAGATACAATACTGAAATTACGCCAATTTACAACCCTACAATGGCCTATAAGTATTCAAGTAAAAGGAAAGGCCATATGTCTGTCACTTTTAAATCATAAGCTGGAAATAACTTCTTAGTGAGAAAGCCAGCATGGGCCAAAAACTAAGCCTCTTGCACCAGTTGGGAATGCAAGCATAAAGTTCTTGTAGGAAATTAAAGGTGTTATTCCAGTGGACACATGAATGGTAAGAAAGTGAAAAAAGTCATTGGTGATATGGGGAAAGTTTGAGTGGTGTGGATAGAAGACTGAAACAGCAACAACATTCCCTCTTAAGCCAAAGCATAATTCAAAACAAGGCCCTATCCTCTTCAATTCTGCGAAGGCTGAGAGAAGATGAGGAAGCTGCAGGAGAAAAGCTGAAAGCTGGCAGAGGATGGAAGAAGCCATCTCCTTAACATAAAAGTGCAAGGTAAAGCAGCAAGTACTGATGTAGACACTACAGTAAGTTATTCAGAAGATCTAGCTAAGATTATTGATGAAGGTGGCTACATTCAGCAAAACATTTTCAATGTGGAAAAAACAGCCTTCCATTGAAAGAAGATGCTATCTAGGACTTTCGTAGCTAGAGAGGAGAAGTCACTGTCAGGCTTCAAAGCTTCAAAGGACAGGATGACTCTCTTATTAGGGGCTAATGCAGGCTGGTGATCTTAAATTGAAGCCAATGATCATTTATGATTTCTAAAACCCTTAATGATGCTCAATCTGCTCCATCCATGGAAAAACAAAGCCTGGATGATAGCATACCTGTTAACAGCATGGTTTACTGAACAATCTAAGCCCACTGTTGAGACTTACTGAAAAAAAGATTCCTTTCAAAATATTACTGCTTGTTGACAATGCCCTTGGTCATCCAAGAGCTCTGATGAAGATTTACAAGATGAATTTTTTTCCATGCCTGCTAACATAACATATATTCAGCAGGCCATGGATCAAGAAATAATTGTGACTTTCAAGTCTCATTATTTTTACTTTTTTAAGTTGGAGTCTCACTCTGTCATCTAGACTTGAGTGCAGTGGCATGCTCACTGCCACCACAGCCTCGATCTGCTGGGATCAGGCAATCCTTCTACCTCAGCCTTCCACGTAGCTGGAACTACAGGTGTGTGCCACCACGCCTGGCTAATTTTTTGATTTATTGTAGAAATGAGGTCTGGCCAAGTTGCCCAGGCTGGTCTCAAACCCCTGGACTCAGGCAATCCTCTCACCTCGGCCTCCCAAAGTGCTGGGATTACAGGTTTGAGCCACTGCACCTGGCTTCAAGTCTCATTATTTAAGAAATTCATTTCATAAGACCATAGCTGCCATAGACACTGATTTCTCTGAGGATCTGAGAAAAGTAAATTGAAAAGCTTCTGTAAAGGATTCATCATTCTAGATGCTATTAAGAAGATTTGTGATTCACGGGAGGGCAAAATACTAACATTAACAGAAGTTTGGAAGAAATAGCACTGTTGGTGATCAAACAAAGGGAAAAGGTACATCTTTAACTGCTAATTAATATAAAATATATTTTATTGTTATACCCTCTAGCAATAATATATCAACCTGGCACTAATTATTAACATTACAAACATAAACACAATTCTACCTTAAAAGTCCAATACTGAGAATCTACCCCCAGAAATAAAAGTACAACTTTACTAAGATATAATAGACAAGAGCAGTAAATAACAAAGGAAACAAGGTCCATCAATAGGAGCATAATTCCATACACAGTATTTGTAGTGGACTCCTATAATTTTACCTCTAACTCCATTTTGAATATAAGTTGGACTTTCTCATACCAAAAGCAGGGCTTATTTATTCTTGACACTTTCCAGTTCTCTACCTCCTCCTAGTTCCACAATGTGGCCGATCCAGATATCTACCTTATTAAACAACTGCTTCCCGGTGACCACCTTCTTATGGGTGTGTAAGTTAGATACAACCTACTTGTCTTGCTCTACTAACCCACACACCCTGCATGAGCTGCACAGATATGCCACAGTGACCACCTTTCAGTCTCAGTGTGACTCCATAGAGCATGCATTGGCTTATTCGAAACCTGCCAATTAAAACTCTCTTCATGATAATACCCTGGACACCAGTAAAGGTTTTAATGCACAGGTACCTCACACTCTCTCGCTCCCCATCCAGCTGGTTGAGCGTGCATGTCTTGGATGACTCCCCCATTCCTGTTGGCAAGTAAGGCATGCTGCCCTCTTCTCTCTGGGATGAGTAAATAATAAACTGTTTCTGTTATTTCATGTGTTTTGGTGAGCTGCCTCCTGTGTGTTGCACCTGAAGACACCTGAATTTACTCCAGTCAGGGCTCTCCTTGAGAATGGCTATCTTGTTAGGAATAAACTGGACACAGGTAAACAAAAGCCACAAAGGCATCTGTCAGCATAAACAAGTTTCCTGTGAGAGGGACACCTGGTCAAGGGTCACAGACACTAAACATCAGATTGTACATCAGGATAAAGAAGTATCTGGTGAAAGGCACATTGTAAACACTCATGACAAAATCTCTTGGAGCCACGTCAGGGCAGAACTAGAATTTATAGCTACTCTCCAGAGACAGACTGCAAGACCAAATTAGAGGAAAATACAACAGTGTTTTTGAATGACAAAGGAAAAATGTAGGAATTTAATATAATCTCATTTTGGCAAAACAATATACGTGTGAAAACATACATGCTTTATGTGATCACCTGAGCAAAGATAAATGCATATATCTGTAATTGAAAAGGGGCTAGTCAGTCAACCTAGAAAACAAAAGGCAGTAAAGCAGCACCGAAAAAACTACAGTATGTATGCTAATCACATGTGAGTACTGTATAAAGTTATGCGTGTGTGCACATACATATACTCACATACATATAAAATTAAAACAAAAAAAGATACACCAGGAATGTATAAACTAAAAGAAATCTGATGTTGCAACTTGTAGATGAGATAAAATTTATTAAAAGTAAAAATATTAAACGGTTAAATGTAAGCTTATAGAAAATTACAATTAAAAAGATAGGACACCAAAGAACACATATTATTTCAGAACATACCCATAACAATGCAAGCATCAACTCAATACTAGGCTTCAAAGGAGAATCCAATAAATTCCCAAAAAATCAATTGCTGTGTTCTTTTTCTATAATATGAAATAGAAGTGAATAACATACTAAATAAAAATTTGGTTAAATAAAAAAGCATAAGAGAAGTTACTGAATTTATACATAACTTAATGATAAAGCACTACTATTAAAATTTATAGGATGCTGTGCAAATACTACTTAGAGAAAAAATTTAAGGTCTTGAATACAACAGAAAAGAGAAACTAAATACAAAGATGTCTAACTAAATACAAAAATGTCTACAAAAATAAGCAAGAAAACAACCCTTCCCACAAAAAACAGAATGAGATGAGGTTACTATAATAATTATTAATATAACCAACAAAATGATAAAATATATAGATATACAAGGGAATTACTAAGGATTAGGAAAAAAAGGATAAACTAGAATAGAAAAATAGGCTACAGTTCAATGAAGGAGAAAATAGAATCGTTAATAGAAAACTGCAAATTAAAACAATACCACTTCATACTCATCAAATGGGTATAACACCACCACTATTGTGGTGCTATTATGTGGTAAAACAGGAACACTTCAGGCATTAGTGGTGGGACTTAAACTG